TTTTTGTAAAAATGTCTCCAGCTTGTTTTCGACTTGTTTACGTTACCAAATTAATGATTGCAAGGGCGATTAACCTGTCTGAATATGATGCTTTGATTAATTGTCCGGGGTACGTTTTTAATATTTGATTCTGTTGAGAACAGGACGGATTTTATATTGCCCTGCGCATTACCAGGAAACTTCAAGACGTCGTTCCACAGCAGGATGTTGCAGAAAAACGTTAGATTGCTTTTAAATTTGTGTAACTTAAGGGATTTGGATTCTTGTATTATTTCTAGTCTCAAATTTAATATACATGCACTTCTAGTGTTTTGAAATTTGTGTCATAGAAATCTAATTTTTCTTAAAAATCAGGTATTCATATTACTGAAAATATAACATACAAGCTTTCTAAACCTTCTTATTTAACAACTGTCATCAGGAAATAATTTCTAGTCTTACAACATAAAGACTTATCACTTATCACAAATGTTTTTTGCTACATATTGCCATAAATACTCTTACTGATTGTTCTTATAACGAAATAAAAATCTTCAAAAATGAAACAATGTTACAAAAATATTTGAACCACTTTTTTGAGAGTTCTTTAACAATTTCATTCATTATCATTGCACAATAAAATTTAACAAGCTCACGGTTTTACAAACAATAACCGAATTGATTAACATTTTCCAAATATTTTTAAGTCGATTGGAACCCTTAAATATCTCAACGTATGAAAAAATGGACTTATACCACTTCTAAGAAAACGGCTCATTTCTTAATGGAAATTTCCGATTCTTGATGCATCACGTTGCATTTTATTCGCGCCCCGATAAAGGTTTCCACACATAAAAGGTGTCAATAAATTTTCGATAGCTTTACGGGACCTATCCGACGCCATTCGCTAAAAAAAGTATTCGGATTTCCTTTTGAAACACCCAGTATAGGACATTACTCGGGATTCGACTTTAAGTAGTGATTTCGTTCTGCTGTCGACACCATCTCTGTTCCCCGTCTTATGGTAACAGTTCTCTCGGCGGCGAAGAGCCGTGACAGTTAGGGCAAAGAAACGCATTTTGAAGAAGCACGTACCGATCGTAAAGCTTATACGAGGATTGCACGGGCAAGCGTGCGATGTCGCGTCTCCGCTGCGTCGAAAAACCTCGGGACGACGCTCCGCCACTGTCAAATTCTGTCCCTTCGTCGTGACGAGATGAAAATTAAGGAGCTCGTTCGATGAACAAATTTACAATTGCAGTAAGCTCCGGTCACAAAGAATAATCTGTAGTAACGAATAGTCATCTAATAGAATACTAATGACGAGATAAAGATTAACCCTTTACCTTGTAATGACGTGTCAGAATAGTGAAGATTTTAAACAGGGTTTAAGGAGTATAAATATTACTGAATACTTTTGAATTCGAATTAAATACTCTTCTTATGAATTATTATATTTTGATAATAGATTGAAATTTATTCGATAAACAAATTTAAAATTACAGTAAGCTTCCTTTAATCGCGAAGAATAATCTTTCCAACGAATTATGTAATATAATACCAATGGCGAATTGAAGATTAATATTTTCAAGTTAAATTCACGATTAACGCGTTCTTAATAGACAACATTCAATTGAGGAATTTTAAAAAGTGATATCTTTCTTCAAACATTTAGGAAATAAAGTAGAATATTTTTACTGTACCGAACACTAAAAGTTTTAAAAGCGTGAAAATTATAAGCTCATCGTTTAATTCAAATTTAATATGATTAATCATTCTTCGTAGCTTGCACTTGCCGATCGGTGTTTTAATTCTTCGTTCAACGTGTAATGAAAATGGAACGGTATTTTCATTTTCGAGAACAGCAGACTCAATCGGGATGTAAATTAATATTACATGAGAAGTTCTAGCGTAAATCTACCTTATTGTTTCGAAATCTGAAATTTGTTTATAATCTCAATGAAATCATAACCTCGGCTTTATTAACGCCCAAATTCCTGCAACGTGATTGTTCACGGTGTTCGCGCGACGATCACAATTCCAGTGGCAGAGGTCGTAAAAATACGACCTCAGGCATTCCTCTCGGTAAATTACGAGAATTGAAAGCGCAAGATTTATGGGGAGGAAGTAAGAAATCTCAGCGAAGAGGGAAAGAGAGAGAGAGAGGGAGAAAAAAGGGGAAGTCAATAAACAGAATTATTTATCACACGTGTGTCAAGGCATCCGTACGAATCTCTTAGGACACGCGTCCTTTTTGCGTCGCGTCGAGCCTCCTGTTTCCGTCTCCCCGGTTCGTGGGGTTCTGAAGAACGAGGGGGGAAGAGCACGCCGAAGGAGGAGGCCGTGAATGCTTCGGGAAATTTGTCAAAGTAATGCAACCCCTTCAAATTTGTCGAATCTTTTACTTGCCTGGCCATTGTACATGCTAAAGCACCGACACATCAAACGAGGGTTCCTTTTTCATTTTTATGTTAAGTGGTTTATTTGAAATATACTTCAAAGGAGAGATTTTTTAAATATAATTATGTTAAAAACGAAAGAAGCACCTAACCTCTTCGAATTTGTCGAATCTTTTACTTAGCTGACCATTGTACATGCTGAAGTACTGGCACATCAAACGAGAGTTCCTTTTTCATTTTTATGTTAAGTGGTTTATTTGAAACGTACTCCAAAAGAAACAGATTTTTTGAACATGATCATGTTAAAAATGGGAAAAGTACAATTTAAAAATGTTAAGTCGTGATATAGAAATACTTGGGAATAAAATTATCGAATCACATGTGACAAAGAAACGTGAATTGCATATAAAATAGGCGTTGATTAGTTGAAACGGAAGTTGCAAAAAACGCTTCAACTAGTATATAAGATGGGAGGAAAAATAATTAAATAAATAGAACAAATATTTGGAAAAGCTTAAAAGAAATTAGAGAAGGAATAATTAAAATTGCAAGCAATCGAATTTCAAGCTTTTATTATACATAAATGTCTATATATATATATAGTGATAAATAAAATTGTACCACCGATTGCACTCTCCATATTTGAAAAGAAATGAACCCTCTCTATCGAGAGTTCTTTAAAGATCCAAACGAGAGTTAATTAAGTCGACGGTAATTTTTTAGGAAGTCACGGTAGAATCGGTTTTACTGGCTCCTCCGTGTTAGCGACATTTTACGTTTTCTTTAGTATTCGTCCGATCAAAGAGGGAAAGCTACGACGAGAGCGTGATTTCTATTTGTAATTGAAATTTTTACGCTTGACAAGACGAACGATCCGTTCGTCGAAGGGGAGGATACAGATTAGTCGAATGAGGTAGAAAAGTGTGCGAAGAACACGCCATTTTGGAGAACTTCGTAAAATCGTGACTGGAATTTCATCCCCGGCCACTTGATCGTTATTTAGATTTCACTCAGAAGTATATCCGACTTTTCCGTACATGCTACGCGTATCAGACACGGAGGAATCATGAACCGGAAGCAGTGAAGGGAATTCCGCGAAAGAGATGTCAGAACGAAGCAACCACGATATCTCCTTTACTGAGGATTTTTAAAAAGAAATGTTTGTTTCGAATATCCGAGGGATTATTCTATTTCCGAACCGCTGTATCGCGATTCGTAAACCTGCGCGCATGAAACCTGAAACCGTATTCTCATTTTTGTAACAGGATAGGAGAATAATAACGCAACCGTCGATTTGAAAATATTTTAATTGTGAAAAGACATGAAAATACACTGAATTCTACAATAATCATTTCATATTACACGGCTTTATTATAATCCATTCTCAACGGCACTTTGATGACACGATAATTCCGAAATGTTTACGAATACGTTTTGGAGACATTTTAACCAACTACGAGGTATAATATTTATTTCTTATTGTACAGCTTTATTATAGTTCATTTCTAAAGCGATTTCGATTAATTAACAGCACTTCAATACACCGAGTCCTAAATTATTTTCCTCAAAAGAAAACCTACACAAGTCACGTTATTCTAAACATCACACTTAATTCCTTGCCCTATGATTTCTTTCTTATGCTTGATAGAACAACTTTATCATTGATAATTTATTCGATAAAGAACAGAAGACACTTATTCCATGTCTACATTTGCTCGAAACTATTGATAATGCAAAAACAATATTTCATTTATATTCAAAGACAGTAAATAGCATTTATCGAATTCAATTCAAAATCACGAGTCAGACACGACATTACAGAGCAAGGGGTTAACATCCTAAATCATTCATTCAAACTCAACACAAAATAAAAAGCGCAGAAACCTAAGGAAACAAAGAACAACTTAACATTAACCTTCAAAAATACCCGAAACTTATAACCAATCCTTAATCCATAAACTCGCACAAAACCGGCCCGAATACCCCAAAATAATTCCCACTTGAAACCACCCCAATCTAAAATTGCCACCCAAGAAATAAGAAGACACTCGAATCTCCTAACGACAGGTATGACCAACCAAAAAGCGCTCACCGCAGAGGAGAACATTTACGAGGCAACCCGTGCAGGTTGTCACCCCCGCGAATTACATTTAGAAGCCAGTCCAACGGTGAGCGTGCGTCACGTCTCAAGGTTGCCGACACAGGATACGTCTTATTCGTTGCCGGGGCTGCCCCCAGCGGAGTTACCGAAGGTGGATGAGCACGGGACGCCGGTCCCGTGTAGCTCATCGTGCGTACGTCACCCGCCCTGTGCCCCGACGAGGGAGCACCCTTACAGGCGCACACACGCGGCGAACGAACGATCGCGTCCGTGTGTTCCCCTGGTCTTGGTGTCCCATCATGCCGGTCGTGAGAGCGGCCCGGGCTTATCTCTACGAGCTCTCTCTCCTCAAGGAGACTAAAGTGGAGTGAGCCATATCCCACCGCCTTTCTTCTTCCTTCGAGGAAGCGATGACGTTCCCGGTGTCCCGGCTCCCCCCGCCGTGGCGAATTATCGCGATCCACCGTCTCCTTTTCCCGTTCGATGATTCAGTGCCTCCCGATAACCGGCGATCCGCTTGCCCGTCCACCGATTCCCGGATTAGGCCTAGGCCGTTTAGAGGATACTGTGCTCGTCGGATGGGTTGGAAACGACGTCTGGGAATATTAACGCCACTAGACGGAAATCGGTGACCGATTTTTACCGGTGTCGCGTGGGTCATTCAATTTGCATACCTGATAACGTTTGTGGAACTGGAGGTTTTGGGAGCTGGGTGCTGCGAGGTTCGAGGTGGTTTGCTTGTAGCTTTAGATGGATTGACTTTTTGGTCGGACTTTGTTAGATGTCTTACACGCCTACTTTGTTATTAATAATTCATTGAAGAAAGAGAAAAATCCTAGACATTTCCTATGTCTGTGTTTGCTTTAAGGTATAATAATTTATAACACAAGAGTAATATTCAATTTTTCTTTACAAAAATTGAGTAATACTTATGTTCAAAATCTTCATCACGAGTGCTGACCACGTTATTAAGGCAAGGGGTTAATAGTTTTTTTTATGTTATTTATTATTGATGTGTTATTGGGATTGCTTTTGGTGGAAAATTGGGGTGAAGTTGTTGGAGAATAATTAGTTTTTGAAATATTGTAATTGGAGATTTGTTGATAGATAGTAGAAGGTTTTTTGCTGAGACTTAAAGAAATTAATTTACGATGGAAGTATTTTCTTAAGTTTTATCGTGTTACTGAAATAATTGTATATTCTGTTGTTTTCAGGATTCATCGTTGTAATATGAAGATTGTTAATTAATATAAATGTCACGCTTTGTCCAGGTGTTGTTCTTGGAAGTAGAAGAAATCTCCAGACACTCAAATTAAGTAACATATGTTTGCTAACCGTGTATCTCCGGGATGATTCTAAGTAATTAAACTGTTTTAATTAACACTTTGTTTGAACAAGTTGTCTTCCATATGTATCTATAAAAAATGAAAGGAGTGAGCACTATTTCCAAATAAAAAGAATTTCTTATTGTTTAATTATAATGTAAACTTGATTCCAATGCAAGATGGATATTTCTAATGTAAAATAAAACGGTGAAATTGCAAAACATCATGATACAAATATTATATATTACATGAATATTTAAAATATAAATCATAGTGAAACTGCAACGGTGAAAAATCCCCGATATCATTTTAAATGTTATTATCTATTTGAATCAATACTTCAAAGCCAGTTCTCGGTATATTTCCAGCTAATGTCTCGTCTACGTGGCCGCATTACTCGGGAGAAACAAGTTTTAAAATAAATTAGCAATGTTACAATATATTGCAAAGGCGTGAGTAATAACTTGAGATACACAACACTTTTATCGTCGCTGGAGCTGCAAAAGGGTCACGTAAAAAATGAAGAGCACTGAAAAATGTGATGGAACTGCAATATGTAATTAGAGATGGACCCAAAACAATATAGAAATGGCGGGGGAAAAAAGAGCAGAGGAGGAAGCAGCTCGGCTGGAATAATTATGAGAACTACGCTGGAATATTTTCCATTACCCAATGGACTGGCGCGAGAATGGATGAAATATTGTTGACGCTGTCAGAGAGAATATAAATACTACTTCAAATTCGCGGCCGTGAAAGTAAACTTCACAGATTGACAATGGTGCGAGCTTTAAATATTCAGGTTGACTGTTGCTGTTTGGAGAGCAAAAGCTGTACCGTTCTTTTTTCGGCAACAACGCACCGAGTTATATGTAGATCATATTCGTCCGTCGATTTACGATAATATTTAATATTATTTCGGAAAGTATTCGAAATACAGTCGCATCTCAGATTCTTATCGAGTATACCTAATAAGCAGCTTCATGTGCAAGCTTATAAGGTATCTAATCTTATCTCTCAAGGCTTAAGTGGCAAATTAACCGCACCTTCGTCTTAAATTATACGTCAGAGTAATCTCTAGTTGTGCGTCAATAATTTTAAATTACAATTTCTTGGAATATCGTGTAATACACTTTTCATTACAGCTATGAACTATAAGTTTCACTTATAATTTCGTTACTTTAGAATAATTTTATCGTCACGGAGTTGTTCGAATTTAGAGTGTGTAATGTATTTTAATATATTTATGTGTGTAATACATTTCTTACGTAAAAATTAGAAAGATGAATATTTCAGTCAGAGTTCATAAATCAGAGTTTGCTGTTTTTATTCTGTATGCTTTTATTCTTTTAATACGCCGGTTTATTAATTGTCTATCATACAGTAATTTCTCAAAGAAGATGAACATTCTACCGTAGCTTAATGACACGTCCTGTGATCATATATTGCTCGTACGTGTTCCATGGAGCCTACGTTCCGAGTATCAACAGGTTTCGTGATCGATACTGTTCTCTTAATAATTCTGTCTTTACATCCTAAAGCATCCAGCAAAACTACGCCGGATGAATAAGCTCCAGTTACAGCTACTTCAATGTAAATCATTTCATGAATTACTGAAGACCTTTCTCTTTCCTCCTTTTTTCCTTACAAATTTTTTTTATAATACATTCAACGTCGCATAACAAATACTAGCACTCCACATTATCGAATGATATATATTTTAATTTTTTTACAATTTAGAACATCTAATGATAAGTATTTTTACATGTTTACAATTTAGAACATTGAACGATAAATATTTTTATTTTTTCACTACGAATATTTATAAACTTTAGATCTCCACGATTGAGCATCGACAATTTCACAAAATAAAGTTTTATTTAATAAACTTAATAAATTTAATAGTTCAAAAATAATACCAATAGGAAAAAAGAAATTCTGCTACAATATTTATTCCCATTCGATTCCAAAAACCTTTTAAATCATAAATACGTGCCGTTAATGTTAATATATTGACTAAGCCATATATACCTTCGAGGTAATTAATTTGCGTTAGATTCGTTAACAAAACATTCACTCTTAAAAAATAATTTCATTCATAATCTTGAACTCAATACAACCGTGCAATGTTGCTGTAACTTACAAAGCAACACGATCCCTGACGCTTAAAATGACTTAAACCATTGTCAAAATCAGGGGCATATTCCAAACAAGGAAGTGCGCGAATATTTATAATAAATATTTTCATTATCGTCCAGATGAATCGTTTAATCGATCGTTGCAGAGGAGCCAACGTCCACTAAAAGTCAACAGAACGGAGGGAGGCGAAAGCTGGCGGAAACACAATAATAAATTTACTCCTGGCCCCAGATAGAGGACGGGATAAAGAAACGCGGCTTATCGTATAAGCATAGCCTAAAGATAACTGCAATATTTTTTTTTTTAAGACAGATATCGGTTCGAGGGCTAGGCGTGGTCCGACCTCTTGAAATAGGACGTCCGCGTTATCGGCGTTATCAAACGGTGGTGATTGATGGTGCCCCGGCTTTTATAATAATTACTCGATTATCCTCATATTAGGCCGTAATTGTTTACCGCAATTTGGGGGCCAAATATAAAAGGGGAAGGCTGCCGCAATCGGCTCATATTTCGAGATGGCCGGTTCTTCCCTCTTTCGCCCGCCGCCACCCTTTCGATTAACAGCGATTGGCTCTTCGCGGGGAGAGAGGCCCTTCACCGACGAAGTCAGCGACCTGGAGGAGCGATAGAAAATTATAAGCAATGCTTGATCTTTTTTCTTATTGGTATTATTTTTGAACTATTAAGTTTATTAAGTTTATTAGATAAAACTTTATTTTGTGTGAAATTGTCGATGCTCGATTGTGGAGATCTAAAGTTTATAAATATTCGTAGTGAGTGAGAAAATAAAAATATTTATCGTTCAATGTTCTAAATTGTAAACAAGTAAAAATACTTATCGAGGGAAAAGAATGTTGGGAATTGTTTATTGTTGGACACTATCAGTGAGTTAACTGATCCGAATACAAAGTGATTTGTTGTCAAAAATGTACAATTGACGCTGGAACTACCGTGCCAGTCAAAACGACTGGTTTCAGTTTCCTTATTCCGTGATTATTAGTATCTTAAAGATATTAAATATCCTGAATGATTTGGGAGATAAATAGTTTCACTCGAATACTGATGAATATCTAAAGAAAAAAATCTATTGTTACCATTTTTATAAGGATTACGTGTTAATCGTATTAAATGCTCGGTAGTTCTAATGTTAATGGTTTCTTTATTGTATTACTTTAGTATTTATAATAGTAACATTACTGTCAAACGTATAATCTATTTGAAATAATACGAAGCTTTCAACCTAAATTATATTTGTGTTTTGTATTGAAAGTTACCACGTGCAAATCGTACATAATTTATAGAATTCGTTTGGCAAAGTAAGATTTGCAGGCATTATGTCACGATAGGAGCCTCAAAGTTTATTTTAACAGTGGAAGGTTTGTTTAATTCGAAGAAACGAAGAAACCGAAAGGTAGGCTCAAGCTTAAAGACCAGTAGGCAAGTTAAAAAACAATTTTCTGGGCCCGCTCCTATTCTATTCGAGTCGTTTCATGGCGCGCAAGCTCGTTATATACAATCCCTGAGTGGCCATTCTACTGTGGGCTAGGGAATTACAGAATGTAAAAGTACAACAAAAGCTGGAGCCGGGAATGGCGGAGGAGCGGAGGCCACCGAAGTCTCCGGTCCTGTCATAAATCGCCACGGTTGACGTGCAAGCGGTAATAAAGACAGCGTATGCTATCGATTCGCTTCCTTTCGGTTGGTGAACGATTCACGGGAAATAGACACGTAACTTCCTGTAAGAATTCACTCTTTTAAACGTCGCTTCCTGTTAGAGTTGCACTGTTAATATATCAATTCTTTTCGATACAATTCTGTTTAAAAAATTGTAGGAATTTTTGTTTCAATCAACGACAATTAAAATCCAACGTTTGAAAAATTTGTGTATTTTTGAAGTAATACTTTAAGATTGGTTACATAATGTTTTTTCGAAATTGTATCTTAGATTGTTCATTAACTAAATTTTAATGAATGATTGAAATGAAGATGAATGAATGTTATGTTACAAGAAACAGTAAATAGTATGGTTAATATTTTATAATGATTTTATAAACAATATTGTCAAGTTATCGAGATAACAGTGTAGATAAAAATGAATGTTAACAACTTACCATTACGTGTATTTAAAGGAACATATCTTTTAGAAATTAATTTGCTCAAACTGTTCACTGTAATGAGTAATTAATTGATATAATATAGGATAATCGTTATAGTTAAGTGAAATAATAAAATCAACTAATAAAGAGCATTCTGAAAGGAAACACCGAATTCGCTGATAGATTTCGAGAGAAATCAATGAAAGATCTGATTGGAAGATGTGTGGCAGAAGAGGAAGGGCAGAATATAAGGGAATCAAGAAGGTGACGAATGAAGGTCAGACGTAGATAAGTAGAGTAGAAATATGGGGTTCCGGTGAACAGAGACTACAGATGAGGAAAGAAGAGGTAATGGAACGAAAGTTTGAAAAAGGGAAAATGTTGAAACAGGAATGGATAGATTGAAATAATTTTCTTGCATGTGCAATCCATTTTTTCCAACGTAAATATTCAATAATTTTCTATAAACAATAATAAGAAGAGACAGTTCAGAATTCTAAAGATATATGTTCTGCCAAAAAATTATTCTTGTCACATTGTATAAATATTTTTTTATATTAAATTCAAATATATCCACTCAATTTTTTAAAAATGAAATCCAAAAATTATTTCATTATTCATGTGATTCCTCCGCTTATATATAATTGATATTTTAAGCTCTGTAATATTTATTCAGAAATATACAAATAAACAAACAAATATGAATGAAATAAGTAAAATATATATGTGAATCGCTTATTTTTTGTATCGATTACACAATATAACAATTTTATACTCAACACAGAATACTGTTTACACTCCGGTTACATTTAAAACTCCTCGCACATCTCGAAAGCATAGTTAAAAACCATTCATTTGCCAAACCAGTCGACTCCACAAAACAAAAAGTACAAAAGTCTTTTAGTGAGATTAAACTACACCCGTAAAAGACCATTCAATTCGTCACGAAACCCCAACAAAAAGAAAAATTCGAAAACTGGAATTAATCGCTTTAATCACTGAACGCCTCAATCGATCTACTATCAATATCAATTCACTGCCAAATCTCAAACAAAAACTCAAAAACTGAAATTAATCGCTTCACTGAATGCTCCAATCGATCCAGTACCATTCAATTCACAAAGCCTCAAACGAAAATTCAAAAACTGGAATCAATCGCTTCAGTCACGGAACGCCTCGATCTACCCGATGTCAACATCGACTCTTGCAAAACAATTTAATACTAAAATTACCAGTCAAAATGCTTTCGGTTTCCTCGTTTCGCTTTGATCGATATCTTAAAAGCAATTAAATATTCGAAACGATTTCGAAAATAGTTTCACTTGAATACGAATATCCGAAACTGAAAATAATCTATCGTCAGAATTTTTATAAGGATTACATCGCATTAAACGCTCTCTAGTTCTAGCGTTAAGTGCATTTGATTCACGGGTACACGAAATGGTTGTTCGAAGCGTCGTCACCGGGATCGTAGACTTCAATTTAAATATAACTCCCCGCCGACGCCTGGTATATCCGTTTCCGCAGCGGAAGTCGGGCCTTCCTCCGCCTGGCGCGGCGACAACTCTTCTGATCAGGGCTTGTCAGTCAAGGTGGATCAGTCTCGCACGGGGAACAGCGCGCGGGCTGGGGAATAGACAAGAACCGTTGTCCTCTGCGAGGATACGTCACGCCGGCACGGCGAAAGTGGATCCGGAATGGAGCCGGAGTGCTCGGCCGGATTGAAGCCGCAACCAGCCCGCAGTATATTCTTATGTAGGCCTACTGGAGCAGAGTTTCGGCAGCTTCCGGGGAAATTTACGAGCTTCGAGCTGATGGGGTTTCCGTGCTTGCCCGAACCTGCCACCTAATATCTTTACTAGGGCGCCCCCGATCCCGCCGTTTCCTCTTCACCCTTTGCTGCT